CTCAGACATGGGTCCTTGGGCTTCTTGCCTCGGAAGTGTAGCAGCAGGCATCAAGGGAAGGTGAAGAGCTTCTCCAAGGATGACCCTTCCAAGCCCATCCACCTCACGGCCTTTCTGGGCTACAAGACTGGCATGACCCACATTGTGAGTGAACTGGATTGGCCGGGATCCAAGGTGACTAAGAAGGAATTGCGGAGGCTATGACCATTGTGGAGACACCACCTATGATGGTTGTAGGCACTGTGGGCTATGTGGAAAGCCCTCGAGGCCTCCAGACCTTCAGGACTGTCTTTGCAGAGCATATCAGTGATGAGTGCCATAGGCACGTCTATGAGAACTGGCTTACATTTAAGAAGAAGGCCTTCGCCAAGTATTGCAAGAAATGGCAGGAAGACATAGGAAGAAGCAGCTGCATAACGACTTCGGCAGCGTGAAGAAGTACTGCCAGGTCATCTGAATTATAGTCTATGCCCAGATGTGCGTGCTTCCACCACAGCAGAAGGTCCACCTCATGGAGATCCAGGTGAGTGGGGACACTGTGGCCAAGGTGCTGGACTGGACCCAGGAGAGGCTGGAGCAGCAGGTCCCCATGAGCCAGGTGTTCAGGCAGAACAAGATGATCGATGTCATTGGGGTGACCAAGGGCAAAGGCTACAAAGGGGTCACCAGTAGCTGACACACTGAGAAGCTGTCCCACAACACCCACTGAGATCTGTGCAAGGTTACTTTATTGGAGCATGGCATCCTGCCTGTGTGGCCTTCTCCGTGGCACGTGCTGGGCAGAAAGGTTACCATCACCCTACCAAGATCAAGATCTACAAGACTGGTCAGGGCTACCTCATCAAGGACAGCAAGCTAATCAGCTACCAACAACTGCAACCTGTCTGACGAGAGTGTCAACCCTTTAGGTGGCTTTGTCCACCATGGTGAAGTGACCAATGACTTGGTCATGCTAAAAGGCTGTGTGGTGGGAATGAAGAAGTAGGTGCTCATCCTCCACACGTCCTTGCTAGTTTGTGCGTGCAAACCAAACAACACACTCTGGAGAAGTTTGACCTCAAGTTCATTCACACCACTTCCAAGGCTGCTTCCAGACCATGGAGGAGAAGAAAGCATTTGTGGGACCACTCAAGAATTGCCAAGGAAGAAGGCATTTAACAGCAGGAACACCGTTGGCAGCTGATGGAGTCTCAGTGAACGTTGTTTTACATAGACAGGATATCTTGCCTACATCTTCTACCCTGAATCACTATTAGGCCAGGGATATAGCTCAGCGGCATAATATAGCTCACACCTGGCATAATATAGCTCATTCCTGGCAAGCTCAAGGTCCTGAGTTCCATTCCTGGTACCAAAAAATAAAATCACTACTAGGAAGACAACGCACAGTGTATCAGTTTATTGTAGCTGTCCTAATAGTGTGTTTTGAAACTCAGTTTCATTGTAATGTTTATCTTTTTTAACAGGATGGGATGGGGGAAAGGAGAAGAGGAGAGGAGAGATAGATAGACAGACAGACAAACAGGAGATAGGTGGGGTAATTACACTACTGATTTCTGTTGGTTGAAAGGAACAGTTAATGCTTAATTGTTTTATCAATCTTGCATGCCTATGTCTGGCGATCTGAGCAACTACTTTGAAGATAACAATATGTAACATAACAACTACTGTTAAGTTCCTCTCACCTTCTTTTGAAATTCTGTATCATTTTTATTTTTTTATTGTTGTTTTGTTTTTGACTTTGTGTTTGTTTGTGGAGGGGGTTGTTCTTATTGTTTTGTTTTTTCTCTTTAAAATAATTTTTTTAAAAAAAAGTTACCGTGGCACCTTTGCTGCAAATCAGTTGACAGTTTCTCTGATCTGAAAATTGTCAATTGATTTGCAGCAAAGTTGCCAGGATAATTAAACAGTCATTTTAACAAATGGTGCTGGGATAGCCACATCCAAAAGAATGAAGTTGGACAAAAAACTTCTGTGCTTCAAAGTACACCAACCCTAGAATGGGAGAATTATACAGCAGTTTGCAAATCATTTCTCTGCAGAATCTATAGAAGTCTTACAGCTTTTTCAACAGTAAAATATGGGCAAAGGATTTGAGTAAACATTTTTCCAAATATGATGTACAGATGTCTAGCAGATGCGTGAAAAGATGCTTGACATTATTGGCAACCAAAAAAATGCAAATGGAAACCACAAGATACTGCTTTATATCCACTCAGATGGTTGAAATTTTTTTTAAAAAAGACATAATAACAAATGTTGGTGAGGGTGTGGAGAAATTAGAACTCTGGTATACATTGCAGGTGAGATTATATAATGGTGCGGTCACTTTGAAAAACATTTCCTCAGAATTTAAACATAAAGTTGCCATGTGATCTAGCACTTCCACTTCTAGGTACATACCCCCAAAAATGAAAAGACACATGCACTCAAAAATTTGTATATGAACACTCACAGCGGCATCATTAATAGCTAAAAAGTAGAAACAGCCTCAATACCCACCAACCAGTGAATAAATGAACAAACTATAGTATATCCACAAATTACTAGTATTCAACAATACCAAAAAAATGAAGTACTGATACATGGTAAACATAGATGAAACTTGAAAACACTGTACTAAGTAAAAGAAACCAATCACAAAAGACTACATGCTTCATTATTCCATTTATATGAAACGTCCAGAATGTGCAAGTCTATAGACAGCACATTAGTGGTTTCCAAGATTGCAGGGTGCAGAGGGATAATGGAGAGTGATGGCTAATGGGTATAGGACTTCTTTTGAAGTAATGAGACTATATGAAAATTAGAGTGTTGTGATAGTCGCACAATGTATGAATACACCAGAAGTCATGAATGACACATGTTAAATGGAAAGGCTTTCCTTTCTCTAACTATAGTGGTAGTATCCTAAGGAAATCCATTCATTCAGTCAGCCCTCTTTAATATTAATTGAGTGACCCTGTGCTAAGTGGCACTCTTTTAGGCACTTGGGAAACATCAGTAAATGAAACTAGTTAAGTATAATGATCTGAGGACTTTTTTTAAAGGGATGTTCACAATAATTAAATTTTTTAATTTAAAATAAATTTAAAAATTTAAAATAATTTAAATTTTTAAAAATTACAATAAAAGGCACATTGCCATTACTACCCCTCAGAATATTCCCACTTGGTCCAAACACACTGATCCCATCATTCTTGCCACTTTCTGAAGCAGTTCTAGAATTCTTCTTTCATGAATATTATGTTAATTCATAATACAAAGTAGAGACACTAATGATTCAGTGGCAGACAAGTTGCAGTATATGGTGGAGTAATATATAGTCATTTAAAATGTAAATTTTCACAGAATAGATATGGATATAAGAAACATAGCATACAATACAAAACATATAAAATGCTACATATGTGAACTCTATGAAATCAATATTATTTCTGTAGATAATGGTGTTGGGCTTTTACTCTTGAACGATAGCTGCTTTTTGTTTTTCTGAATTTCATAAATCTCTTACAGTAAGATACATTACGGTATCTTTATAATTCTACAAATTATCAACATCCCTGGCTCCAGGTGGCCATTAATACCAACCCAAAGCACTAAGCCCTTCATACTTGATCAGAGAAACCAGGTTGGCTGCTGAATAAAACTGGTGTTTTTCATGTGCCAGGAGAGTTTGGAATTGTGTAACTTTAGAGCAGAGAAAAACTAACTGAAAAATTTTCATCTTTGGGGCTGTTATTTTCTCTTGTGGCATGTTTTTATGTTCACCTTGGATGCATTCTGCTTGTTTTGCTTATAAAACCCCCTTGTCAGTAGGATTTCATCGCACCAAGAATGATCCTTAAGGAGTGGTTATCTGTACTGGGTTTATTAGTACATGTTTGCAGTGCATAGTGATTACAGTCATTGTGGGTAACTGGTGCATGTACATAACACATCTCAATTCTTTTATTTATTTCCCCTTCCCCTCCCACCTACTCTTCGGCTAGCATCGATTAATTTATTTTTAAGTCCTTATAAAATTGATTATCACACATACAGATTAAAAGCCAGACTAACAAGCAAAAAACATGTAAAACATATAAGATAGTTATACTAAATCAAGATACACTTTTAGATACATTGTCCACACTGGATTGCAATAATTTTTTCTCTTTTTTTCCTGTTGTCTGTCTTTTATTTTGTACTTTATTTGTATATTGTGTTTCTCAGATGAGAGAAGCCGTGCAATCTTTAAGGTATTAACGGCCACTTGGAGCCAGGGATGTTGATAATTTTTAGAAATATAAAGATACTGTAATGTATCTTACTGTAAGAGATTTATTTACTTCGCTTAACATTTGGGGTCTCAAAGTGCATCCATTTGCCTACATTTGACTCAGATTTATCCTTCTTTATGGCACAGTAGTACTCCATTGTGTATAAATAACACGTTTTCTTTATCCATTCATCTGTTGATGGACCTATAGACTACTTCTAAGATTTAGCTATTATGAATTATGCTGCTAAAAGCATGGGTGTACATACATCACTGTGTACTGGCATTTTAGTACAACTTCAGTCCTACTGTCAGACACTAGCCATTCCTGGCACATTAAGATCACCAGAAGTAGGACTATATTACAGGTGCTATTGACTCCAGGGCTGAAGTTCTTGGCTCCTATACTGTACCTGCTTTGAACCAAAGAAGTAAGAGTAGAAAACCTTGCTGCAGGAGGAATTTTCAGTCTGTCTTGGAATTAGGACCACACACAGAGATGGACAAAAACCAGTGTATGATGTAGTCCTAAAGTGTATGGTCTAGAAAATTAGGAAATAATAGCATGCAAATATTCATTGTTGACTGCAGACAGTAAATGCAATGCGTGTGATTAAGTTTCCTGTTTTAGACTGTGTTCCTTAAATCTAGGTGTGTTTTCTGCATTGTTTCTAACCTGTCAGCACGTGGTGGTCTCCTGATAAAACCTGCTTAACCTTCTAATCTTTGGCTGCTGCAGGCAACATGGCTGTACAGTATACAGATAACAGGCTTGCTCCTGGTCTGCATTCTTCAGTTTTTCAATTCTATGATTCTTGGATCATTGCTTATCAGCTTCAACCTTTCAGTATTAATTGCAAGAAAACTTCAGGTAGGACTGTGTGTGTGTGTTTCTAGGTGTCTAGGTATCTAGGTGTCATGTTACTGGGGACTGAACCTAGGGCCTTCATACTAAGCTCCATCCCTGATCCTTTTTTGGTTTTGTGGTCATTGTTTTTGTTTTGAGACAAGATCTGACTAAATTACTCAGTTACCTGAGCTGGGCTCAAACTTACAGTTCTCCTGCCCATTTTTTCCTTAGTCAAAGTAAACTTTTTAAAAAATTGCAGTTTCGTGGACCTGATTCTAATATAGTATCCAAACCAAAATTTATGACCTATTTAAATAGCATTATTTGCATTTTTCTTTAAGTGCATATGGTAGTGTTTCTCTTTCCACTTTCTGAGACCATGTGCCATGTCTTTGTTTCAACAATTGTTGTTTACAGAATTGAAACTTTGGTTCAATTCAGGGATTAGCCAAAGATGTTTAGTGCAGTTCCATTGAGTTAATGTTGAAATAATGAACAAAAATTATAAACTTTGCGTGTGAGTGAGAAGAACCTGCTGCTTGTACAATGTGTTCATCATAGTGTAACAGAAAACATGCCCCCATAGCCAGTATACTTGTTTGTTAGCTGCCTAGGTAATAGTTCCTTTTCCAGTTCCAGTTGCTTCTGTCCCTTATAAACAGCTGGTCACTGTGATGCACATTGTATAAACCAGTTCCCAATTGACAAGCCATTCTGCCTCTGTACTTCCTGCTTGCTTATCTCATCAAAGCCCTGCACGACCAGAGATCAGGGCCTGATATTCTGGGAGTGATCCCTATCAGTGCCTGTCGATGTAAATAAACCTGCTCCAAATCCTGGGTGTCGTTTCAGTATTTCTACTTGCCCTTACAGTAGTAGTTCAAGTTGGTCTGCTACTTGTGGTTAATTGTAGTAATGCTGTTCCATACCCTCCTACTGCTCTTTAAATAAATTAACTCTGTTTTGAGTATTGTAAGAATCTAAATAAATACACTTCAGAAATGAGAGTCCTAAGGTATTGTAATAATGTGTTTGAAGACTTCAACCTGGGGCTCAGGTGTAGCTTAGTGGAAGAGCCTGGCCGTGGCGTGCACAAGGCCCTAGGTTTTGTCCCCAGCACCAGTTCAAAAACAGAAAGAAAATGTTGACCTGATCTTTTGACTTTATTACATAATTAAATTTGTGAATTTAATTATGGGATTTGAAAGCCATTTGTTTTTCCTTAAAATTTATAACAAATCCTGTTTCCTTTCTCATGTGCTATAAACATTTCCATACCAAAAAGCTATTTTGTTTTCACCTTTGGGAAGTATAAATGTTTTTACCTTTGGGAAATTTTCTTATTAGTCTTTTGAGTGAGAATTGCCATGGACAAACTGAAAGGACTATTCTTTTAACTGGTTTTTAATTTGTTATTACGAGCAAGTTCTCATTCATCCTTTTAACCTTAATTATAAGTAAACATCATTCATCTTTGAACTGTGGGTATTCTATTTGGCAATATTAGGATTACATGTAAAAGAGCACTTTTTTTTATACTGATAGGTCTCTTATTTATTTGGGTTATGTCTATTTCTGTGACGTAGGAATTAATGGATAAGTGATGTGATGATTTATTCAGTCAGCATATCCCAAGCACTTCCCAAATGGCAGACCCCAATCTTCTGGTTATGAAGATCTCAAAAAAGAAAGAAAGAAACAAAAAGAATAAGGCAGGTTTACTAATCTTACAAAGTTCATCATTAAGGGATTCATTTACTAATAGAAAATTAAAAATAGTTTAACTTCGTGAAGTTGTAGGTTACATATTCCACGTTTTCCCTCTATGTTGCATAAGCCAGTGTTTGAAACTCTGAATTAATACTAAGTATTTAGGAAGCTATATAGAAATTTAAGAATTAAAACAACTCTTTTAATTTCTAGAAAAACCTGAAAACTGGAAACTTCCTTAACAGGATCAGGAAACTTTTGTTACATTTATTTGTAGTTTTCTGTTTGACACTTCTTCTCAACAATATTATTAAGGTAAGTTAATAAATGACATTTGTTGTATTTTTTAAATGTACTGAAGGCTTTGGAGACAATTGTTGAAAGTTTTTATTTCAAATAAGTAAATTCCTGCTTGATAAAGCATATCAGCACACTGGATGTTTTACTTTGAACAGATCCAGTTTTAACTTTTTCTGAGAACAGAATGATTTTGTTGGTTTTAACTATTCATTTATATTGATTCTTCTTTAGTATGTTCTTTAGTAAACTCACCAAGTTAATAAAAATTTGTCAAACTCAGCTATAAAAACATTAAATATTTCTCTAAATTTAGATCGTTTTCTACTCTATGGTTTTTACTGGATTCAGTTTATAAATAAACAGGCCTGTCTAATTTCTCTTAGAAAGATGAACTCATTGTTGCTAGGTGCGCCCTAACATTTAATTGACTCAAAATTAACCACCCTGTAAAACAGAATAACTCATTTAATAACATAGGCCTGTACTTGTTCTATGTCCAGGAGCTTTGCTGAGATTTTTTTTTTTTCAAAATACCCTTGGGGTGCTTAATTTTTACAGTATCTTTTCTGGCATTTTTTTAAGTGAAGACTTTATTTCAGGACCTTGATGCTCCCTTTGTTTTTATGCAACAGTGAAGCTGTAGTGATCTCATCAGATGATTTTGCCCCTCCTAGAAAGCTGGGCTCAGCATAGAAGACATTTGCAGCATAGAAGTTCCTCCGCTTCCCTAACAGTGACAGTTCCCTTGACTGTGAAAGAAAAAAAGATTCTTCACTCAGCCAGCCACAAAAAAATACCTCACTCCAGCTCCCTGTCTCTACAGCCTTAAACTCTGTACAGTTCAGTGCAGTCAGCCCTCCATATCCATCAGCTCCCACCTACAGGTTCCTCAGTCCAGCATTCAACCGACCACAGACCAAAAATATTGGGGGGGAAATCGAGCCTGTACTGACCATGACTTGCTTTCTTGTTACCATTCCCCAAACAATATAGTCAGTAACTATTTACACAGCGTTTACATTAAATTACATATTATAAATAATCTAGATATGTTCTAAAGCATAAGAGAGGTATGCATAAGGTACATGCAGATACTGTACCATTTTATAGAAAGGACTTGAACAGCCGAGAATTTTGCACTCTGTCTGTCTCTGTGTCTGTCTGCCCCTCCCCGCCCGTCTCTCCTTGGGTGAAAGCTATGCATTTCACCCCTGGTCACTTTAAGTGTTCAGTTCGTAGGTTAAGTGTGTGCCTGGGCCTCTGCTTTTTGACACCCCAAAGAATTACCATCTATTGGTTTGCAGCCTACAATGAGAAGAATTAGAAAAAACAGTCTGTGAAACCGCCTTGCTATTTTTTCTGTACCCATGGGAAAAACTTCTCCCGAGTCTTATTTCTATGACTGTTAGGATCTCTTCTGAGAAAGTAGTGAGTTTTAATCTTATAACCCTATGAGTAAAGTAAATGTTTTCATCTTCCTCTTTCCATTTGCTGCTATAATGCCTAAGACTAGATCTGGGGCTCATCCCTAATGAGTATATTTTGTTTACTAACCTCTATTCTGGCTTTACCTTTTTTGCTGCCATTTTTCCTTTGATACTACTTCTTGACCATTTATGTTATTGACTTTGTAAGTTATGAATGAAAACTAAAATTGTGTGAATTAAAGTGACAGTCACTAATAATGAAAACTGGCGTTTATCTGTTCACCAGTGAGAGTTACTGTTGTCTTATAATGTCCTTGAGCAAAATGAGCCCTGTATCAGATATTATATCTATAGATCCAAATCCCTCAAGCCAAGTGGGCTGTATTTCTACTTGAAGTTTCAAGTCATTATATTGCTGCTTCTTGTCATCATCGTCATCGTCATCACTGTGGTGCTGATGGTAGTGGTACTGGGCATTGAACCAGACCTTTGCACAGAGCTGCGCCCTCAGCCCCTCCTCCCTTCTTTTGAGTTGGGGTCTTACTTGGTTATTAAGTTGCCTAGGCTGGATTTAAACATACAGTGCTCTTGCCTCAGCCTCCCAGAGTGCCAGGATTACAGGTGTACACCACACCACCCAACTCAGACTGTTCACTGTTTCATAAAATTCTAGTCGCTGTGCTTCAGCCTTCTCCCTCTCCCTGGAACCAAAACAGCCATGTTTTATCTCTTTTCTATATTGAACTTATGCATAAGATATTTGAAAATAAGATTATCTTTATGAAAGAGAGGTGTAGGAGAGGAGAGAGTTTGAAAATCTCTGGCTTAGAATCAGCTCTGAGAAGTATTGTGAACGTTTACTAATTTCGTATACATGCCTCCTGTGAAACTCGACAGTGGAGACACGTATCCATTGGGAAATTATCAGGAATCCATACCGAAGGCACTAACAGAAATTTTTGTTTTTTCTCTCCTTGATAGAATATTCTTAACCTGAAGTCAGACGAACATATATTTAAATTTCTAAAGGCAAAATTTGGATTTGGAGCAACAAGGTACGATTGAATTAAAATCTGCGTTTGCTGTTATGTACTAACACAACAAGGTCATTAAAGCTTAAGTTGCCTTTATCCCCTCAATTATTAATCGCAGGCTTATTTTAAGGAAAAATATAATGTTGTTTCCTTGCCTTGTATTTAATTTAATATTTTGCTTTCCATTTGTTCCCCAGGGATTTTGATGCAAATCTGTATCTGTGTGAAGAAGCTTTTGGCCTCCTGCCTTTTAATACCTTTGCAAGGCTTTCAGATACTCTGCTCTTTTATGCTTACATATTTGTTCTATCCATCACAGTGATTGCAGCTTTGGTTGTTGCCTTTCATAATCTCAGGTATGGAGCGTTGCAGCATGTTTAACGCTCTGCCTTCATAAAATTATTCTGGGTGTTGCAAAAAATTACTAAAGGTGGAAATCAAAATATCAGACTCAGAACGGAGTGATGCCGTACATCTTAAAGGGGACCCCTACTCTCTGTAGTGATGAGATCCCTAAGAGTGGTGGCCACAGTTCAAAGCAGTCTGGGTTGAAGTCTCTGTTTACACACTGAGAATGATGTGATCTTTGAGCCAGTTATGCAATTTCTCAGTATTTCTGTTTCCTTATCTGTAGAGTGAGAATATGGCGAGTACTTTCTCTGTGTGATTTTCTGAGGAATGAATCAATTAAAACAACATAAAATACTTAAAATAGTATCTCATATCTAGAATATTCTGTAGGTGTTCACATCGTTAGCTAGTTTATTACTGTAGGCTCGTGGTTCTCTTTTCTTGCATTATTTTTCTCTATTATTTTCTCTATTATTAGTTTTTTGCATTTTTCTACTTTTTTCTACCTTCTTCTTCCCAATGACTTTTACAGTATTTCTTGTGAAATGTAAAGAGTTAATAATTTTTGATTTGCTTTCTTACATCTTGTTTCAGAGGAATGGACCATAATTATTAGTGTCAACTAAAAATCTTAAATAATAATGGTCAGTTTTTTAAAGCTGAGCATGTCTACCAGACTAGTGAAAAAAATCAGGGAATATAAAGACTTTTTAAAAACCTGTAGAATATCTACCTGTTAAGCTTATGGTGGTTTGTGTATTTGTTACTCCTGTTGAATTGAAAGAAAATGAAGTATAAGAAGTCAAAGGTCCTGTCATTTGTGAAAAATTAATCAAAGTCCCAAGGAAGCTTTTTCTGTGGAGTGACCCGGCCAGTTAGGGTGGTGGTGAGTTGTGATCACAGCCATGAGAAAGCTGGTGAAAATGAATCTGCATCAGCTGAGGTATTTTATAATTATTAGGAATGAAGCCACATTGAACCATCAAAATACTTCATTGGCTGTAAACTATTTTAGTATCTTTCGGAAGTGTTCTTTTTATATCTACTCAGTATAAAATTTAGCTGTGTGAAAATTATCTACATGAACAAAGTAATTATCTAGACAGTGTAGTTTAATATTATTCCAGACACACCAAGTGTCGACAGGCCTCTAGACTGCATTCAAAGCAGGAAGTTCAGTTGGTCTGCAGTATCTTTGTCAAAAATGTCCCCTGTGCTTGGTGTGAATCTCTGAGCCACCTGTGGAAGGTGATTTGGTATATGATTAAAGATTTTAGAACATCTGTCAACTAGGGATTTTAGGTCATTGTTAAAGGAAAGGCACTACATGAAAGTAATTAGAGGGTAACAGCATCTTAATATAAATTAACATTGAGCCGGGCATGGTGGTGCATGGCTGTAATCCCAGCACTCAGGAGGCTGAGGCAGGAGGATTGTTGCAAGTTTGAGACCAGCCTGGGCTACAAAGTGACCTCAAGGCCAGCCTGAACTGCATAGCAGACCTTGTCTCAAAAAGACCAGAAAAAAAAAAAAAAAAAAAAAAAAATTAAAAAGAAATACCATATGCAAGCTTTAGATTCTGCTTCAAAGAAACCACCTGAAGGAAAAAAAATGATTACCGGGAACAGAGAAAATAGAACACATACTATTAGATAATATGGAGGAATTACTGTTAATTTTGTCAGCTGTAATGATCTCAATGTAGCTATGTTTGGTGATAGTCATGTATTAGACATATATAAGGACACCTTGGTAGGTTAAAAAAGTGATCATTGTTTCATTAAAGGAATTGAATTCCAAGTTTATGGATACATTTATTGTATTTATTTATAAAAATCCACAAAATACTCATAAAACAAATAACTCCTAAAGCATCTTTAAAGATCTCCAGTTTCAGTGATTCCAAAAGGAAGCTTTTTGCTATTCTTTTTTAACTTAAATTATGGAATCACTTTAAATTTTTGCTAAATTAGAGTCTGTGAGATTTTAGTTATTAAATTAACTCTGCATTCATATTGTGATGATTTTAGCCTCAAACAACTTCAGAATTGATCAATGCCAGTTCATTTCATTAGGGGAAGTAAGATTTAACTAAACAGAGATTATTTCTTCAGCTTAAGATGTGTATGTTTGCCACTTTATCCAGTGACTCTGCAACTCAACACTGCGTGGATAAAATGGGAAAATGCACAGTTGATCTGAATCCAGAAACTGCTTACAACTTAATACACACCATTCTGTTCGGGCTCTTAGCACTGAGTACAATGAGGTACTTTTGTCTTCTCTGATTTCTTTCCTTTTTTACCACTCTTTGCTTGATGTTATTTAGCAATAAAATGTAGAAACTGACAGTCATCTTCATTAATGGTTATGATTTCCATAAAAATGTCCTTGTAGACTATCTGCCACTACAAAATATTTTTCCTAATCTGTTTTTTCCCAATTGGAAGCATTCTTTTCCTTATGTGATAGTTCCCAAAAGGCAGTGGAATTAATGACTAACCCTTTGGCAGCTGATCTCTGCATAGTTCAAGGAAACATTTTACAGTCACAGACTGTAAAGCTCTTTCACAGCTATCTCAGGCTTGAGGCGTGTACACAACTTAGAACTGCTAACTTTTACTCCTTTCTGTCCTTGCAGGATGAAGTACCTCTGGACCTCACACATGTGTGTGTTTGCATCGTTTGGTCTGTGCAGCCGTGAAATATGGGAATTACTTCTGAAGTTGGTCCATCTTTATAACCCGAAGAGGGTCAGTGTTGTCCCTTTCTGCATTTAATGTTAAATGACTTTCTAGTATTTCATTCATACCAGTTCTGTCTTCTTTGAGGTTATCCGTGTAGCAGTCAGATAAAATGGATTCTAGTATTGGAAACTAGAAATAGATAATTGATACATTAAGATTTCATAGGGAATTTTTAAAATTTATTGTTAATTTTATTTTTTAATTCATATTTTCCCTACACTCTAAATTAGATATGTTCATTGTACACAATTTAGAAATACAAAACACACATACACACATGTAAAGGAGTATTAAAATTCACCAATAATCTCCCTACCTAACATTATAACTGTTCTTATTACAAAGTCTTCTCCTAAGAATACTTATCAACAAGTGTAATAATGTAGCTTTGAATTGTTCTGCCCTCTGTATTCACTAGGCGGCAATATGGTGGAAGCCAGAAATACCGTAAGATGATTAGAGCCCTGCTGTGGGCTCAGTTGTTCTGACACTGCAGGCTCATGCTCCATTAAATTATATTTTTGTTGTTTTTTATAAAATGCATCTATTTACAAAGCAAAACCGTATAGCAAAAATGTTCAAAGTGCTTGTAATCTAAATAGTGTCTTTCTTATATAGATATGTATAATGCGATATTCAGTACCAATATTAATACTGCTGTATCTGTGCTATAAGGTAAGCCTGATTTTCCTCATTTTTGTCATTAATCTATTTAGCAGAATAATTGCTTTGACTCAATGTATCTTGTACATTTTTTGGCAAATTGAAATGGGTTTATGGAGCTTATAAACACCTCCTTAGCATTTCACTACAGTTGATACTGATAGGAAAACTTTCTCAAATAGTTTTTAACAAATAAAAGCATGATAACAAGATGTCACTGGCAGTCAGTTATTCTAATTAACATTAGCATTCAGCAAATTCTGAAAATGTTTTCAGACCTACTTTGAGCAAATAGAGAAATTATTTTCTCTTCTTATCTGATTTATGTGGAATAAGTTTAAAAATGTATCTTCTTTTAATCTACATATTTCAATAGGTGCTTTTCTTTATAAGAAAACTAAACACATCTAAATAAGTACAAGTCTAAAATTAGACTTTCTTTTCATCCTTTGTTCACTTTCAGTAGGGAGTCATGAAGTTTTTCATGTTTCTAGCTGACTGATTTCTGAAACACTGACTATGCCTCTGTTCTGAGGATCCCTGAGACGGTGACCGTTGCACAGGTTGACTATTTTGTGGTTCTTTGTAACATCCTCGAGATTTACAGGCCTTGCCGTATTACTTAGGCCACTAGCACAGATTACTTCAGTTGAATTTGTGCCTTCACTTTACAGTCAAAATATATATTTGTGAAGTTTAGGTGCTTTTTCTTCAAACTTTTTAAAATATTAGAACAATGGATTTCAAAATCTGCTGTGCAGAGGCTCTGATGGGGGTTAAGGGTAGATATGAAGATGGGGCCTCCTCTGGAGAGGACCCGCTATAGCAGGCTCAGCTCTTGGTTTCAGTGCTTCTGTTTTCATGCTGATCTTTGTCAACAAAAGATTTTAGTCCTAAAAAAGTCACTAAACACTACATTGCAAATGTTTCAGAAAACTGTATACTGTCTTGTTCTGTATATCAGAACCTCCTAGGTGCTAGCAAACACAGAAGTAGTTTCCTACATTCCAGTGTCTGGGAATTTTGCTTTTACAGAAATAAGTAAAACTTAAAAACATCTGGAAAGCAATGGTTAAATATTAAACAGGCTGCGTTTAATGAGGAATCAGGTAACTTTCCTATTATACATTTATTTTGAGGCTAAAACCCGCTCCTCCCAGAAAACATGTAGCTCATCATCCTCGGTCTCCCCACTAAAGATGTGTGTAAACTGTGACAGTCTCCCCACCATTTGTATGTATGTAGGCTGAGTCCTTTTATGTCTCAGGTGCTTACTGAAATTTTATGGACTGTTTTTAAAAGCTATTTGAAGAGATAGGTCTCTTGTTCTTGGTAAAATCGAGGAAGGATATGGAGGAAATAAACCATGCTGTGGACCCATGGCTCTTCAAGCACAGTCCTCAGATGAATAACATTGGCCTTGGGGAAATACAGGCCCTTAGGTCGCAGTTCAGACCTGCTAAATCAGAAACTGTGGAGCAGAGTCCAGAAGTTCATGTTTTAACGGTGCTGCTGCTGCTATACCGTCAGGTTGGAATTCCTACTGTAGGGTCATCAGGATCCCTAACAGTGCAGGTTCTGCTGCCTGGCGGGTTGACTATTCACCGGCACCATGCTGTACCTTCTACCCACTTGATGGCAGTAGCCCTTCCCTCTAGTCGTGACAGCCAGTGAAGTCTCTGCAGGTTGCCAAACTTCCCCTGAAGTAGGGGTGGAGGTGGAGAAGTCTGTGCTCCCCTCCTCTTGAGAGCCACTGTTGTGAAGGAACAAGTGAGAACAAGAGCACTGGAAAAGCCATCATTCTCAGGAAATCCTTGTAATTTTCCCCGAAGAGAGCCAGCATCTTAAAGAATTCTCCAAGGCAGGCATGGCTGTGTGTGCCTGTTACCCCAGCCCTCTGGGCGGCTGCGGGAGGGGGACTGCAAATTCAAGCCCAGTCTGGGTAACTTAGCCACTCGGCAAGAGCCTATGTCAAAAACTCAAAAAGTAAAATAAAGGGCTGAGGATACAGCTCAGCTCAAAGACCCTGGGCTGAATCCCCCAGTATGAGGGAGAGGAGGAAGGGAGACTGTTATCTCAGTTGCTCTTGGCATAGACAGTTTTTACTGTGTAAAATAGTTCAGCTATTTCATCTCAAAATTTGTAGAATATAAAATCACAGAGATCACAGAATATGGAGATGTTATGTATATTCAAAGTTATCTTGACACTGAACCTGTTTTCCATCTATCCCAGCTATTAGATTTTATCTGTAATGTGAATTCATATATTTCAAAGCCTGATTTGAGTTTTACCTAGCAACTTTAATCAGGGTTTCATAATTTGTTGATAATACCATATTTTACCATCTGTATTTAGGATCATCTTACTAAAAGGGAAGCACATTCTAGTCTCCACTTTGAAGTCAAGTAAAAGTTATTGTCATCTTGATTAACATATTTAGGTTGATGAAATCCTATATAAACTATTTCTGATTATTTAAAAGCAGCCTTTAGTTCATTCAGCACGCACTTTTATGTTATCTAAGTTTTCCAAGAGGCTGTTAGTAGATTTTAACATTCTTAGCATTAATAACAGCAACTTTAGAAGTATAAAGTATATAATGCCATTGGATTCACATACATATTAAAAGAATTAGAGCATTTCATTCAAAATTTTACATTCTGTTATCCAGTAGGGAAATGTTTAATTATAATATTACAAAGGGATTGTTTAATCAGTAATTTTTACAACACTTCTTCTGAAAACTAGAACCAAAAGTGCTGACTCCTGATTCTCCATCCCCCACAATTTTCTTGGTTTACCCTCCCAAGAGACAAGATGTGAATGAGTGGTAGAAATGACCTGAGTGAAATGACAGGATAAGAAAGCAGTAGGGCTAAAACATCCGCGGACAAATCAGGTGCTTCTTTGATTCTTATTAGTGATTCTTAAAGAAAAGAATAATATTTTCAACATCAGTGAAACATAGGAACGTTGTCATCCATCTTCTGTGCCAATACATGAAATGAATTCTGTAGCTAACTTTAGGATGTATGTGGATGATCAAATCCTATTGGTTCCCATCTTAAGATGTAATTAACTGATGAGTTAAATAGACTGATACTATATTGGGTAAACAGTGGATTCAGAGGGTAATTTTTATATTTATATCTTCATAACCTTAAATAACTCAGGTTGAGTAAGATACGGCAGTGGTAGATGTCTTAAGGTTTCCTGGAGTGTCTTACTTTCAAATATTCTCTCATTGTACCAGTAATGTCAAACCATGTGACCAGATTCCTAGTGTCAGAAATTCTTTATTCAATGAGAAGGGACTGATTGTACAGCCACCTTCCAGGTCACAGTTCTGCCACTTGTGACCTGGTCAACTCAGGTCCATCTTTGAGCCACAGTTTCCATACTTTTAAAATAAAAACTCCAGTGGTGATGCTTCCTGATGCTTCCTAGCGCATGAGTTGTTGTGAGAACAAATTGAGATTCTATATTTAAGAGTATTTTCTGCAGCTATAATATGGTGCTATCTCCTATAGATGCAGTCTGCTTTCAAGGGTAGATTGCACGGCATTAGTTAATTACACTTTCCCGTACACTGTGAGCATTCTTGTGGTTAGTATTCCTGTCATATCAAAGTAATGTTTTACTAGTTATTAGCACCACAACCATAGCATTTTTATGCGAGTAAGATAAAAGCACATTTTTTAAAGTTGACAACACCTCTGGTTGTAATTGGCTTCAGCTCAGGATAATTTGGAAAACTTTTCTCAGGCCTCAGCCTTCATGTGCCTGGAGGGCTGGTGGCAGAGGGGAAGCAGTTGTGGATCCATCTGCCATGTCTGTTCAGCTCACAAGTGGTGCACTTTGCCCTTTTTCATGTAATCTTAGTGATAGGTGTCAGTATGGGGGTGGATTTTGGTTTTGTTTTGTTTTCAATTTCAGTTCTGGCCAGGAATGATGGATGAACTCTCCGAGTTGAGAGAATTCTATGACCCAGATACAGTGGAGCTGATGAACTGGATTAAGTAAGAGGAATTTTTTTTAACATTTAAATTTTTAAGTGCCTTTTCAGATATTAGTTTTGGGGTGGAGTGATTGTTTGGTGGCTATGAATCTGATTGTGAAGAAGCATTCATTTTCATTCAAATTTTCTTTAAAACCTTATATCTGTAAATAACTCTTCACACTTGAAATACCCTGTCTCCAGGTATATATCCCTTAAAGAAAGGAACATAACCATTACGGAAAAAAACAGGATCAGGAAATAAATTTCAAATACTGATAGCAATGGGAATGAAATTTTACTTATCGGGGTGAACACTTACAGTTTTCTATTCTTTGCCAATTTTATCTTTATTATTTTCATTTTAATACCATTCATTTTTTGTCAGTGCTGATGCAAAAGTATTCCATGTTCATTGTTTTAAAATTGCAGTGTAAACTGTAGTTAATTAGATTCATAATGGCTCATTGCAGATTTCATTTTTACTAATCATTTCTCCTAGGCTCTGGCCAGGGAAAATTTCAAGTACAAAAAGTGGAGCTTTTCCTCTCTGGAACATGGAGATACTTTACCATTGTCTCCATGTTCTTGTTTCTGCTGCTGTTCGTTGCTCTGCCTCAGTCTTCAGCCTCAGAAGGGAGCACCTGTGTTTCAAAGCTTTACTCATGAAACCTGATTACCACTGACAGAAATAAATTTTTCTACCCAGAGCAGCATTCCCATGCACTATAATACTGTATTTCCCTATTTTATAACCAAAAAGCAAGTGTATAATTACTCACTCATAAATAGATGTTACAAATCTCGTGTGACATATTCTGAAAGCCTTGGCTGTATTGTCTCCATCGCTTAGAATTTTAGTAGCCATATTGGCACTTGCTCATGACTGATGTTTACTAACCAGTACAGTTTAACACTGCTTGTGTATTAAGAGATGGTAAATGTTTGATAGCCTTGGTCTCTTGAGTGCAATACATGGATTTTATAGAGATTTATGTCTAAAATATATATGTGGCTTTGATGCCAGTGCTGGACTGAGTTTGACTAGATGCAATGAGCGTAATTTTTCACATATTTCCAGTGCTGAGAGTAGGAAGCAGTGCTTTGTCTTTATTTATTTATTTAATTTTAAATCATGGCAGACAATTACAGAGTAAATAATTCGTTCAGTATTTATTGTCTGTAGGAAAGGAAGGCTATTCATATAAAGGAAAGCTAATTACTTTTGCATTAACTGTAGTCAGTAGGGGATTTACGATGCATGCATCTGAAGGTGAGGTTGAAATTTTGTATTTCTAAGATTATGCTGTTGAAACTCACGCTCTAGGAAACCCGCTTGCTGGTAACATCCTGAGGATGGTAGACCCCCTGCATCAGCCTGGGTTAGCGTTACTTTATCTTTTAGATATACAGGTTCCCCACTTGCACTACCTTATCTTTTAGAAATAAATGATAAAATTATTTCAGCTGCACCCCAAGTTGCCTTTGGCTATCTCAGACCGGATGTACTTATTTGTGGCGCCTTTGCTTTCAGCTTTTCCTCCAAGAAAATTACTTCAGGTAACATTTCTCACTCGTTCTGAGAAACTGTGATTGAGAGAGTGTAAGGAAGATAGTGTGCTAGCCTGGTGTTCCTCGCTGGTGGGGAGGTGGCCCTGGGCCCTGAGATGCTCCTTTCCCTGGAAGTGTGTGTCCCTGGTTTGCCCCCTTGTGAACACACTCTATGCTTCATTGGTTAGCTTTTTACTTCTCAGCAACTGAAAGATTTATATTGTTCTAAAAAGCTGGCTCCATTATGATCTAATCTTGCCTATTTTCTCCTAAAATTCTTTAAATTATCATTTTTGTAAAAATAGCTGCTAGGCATGTTTGTAAAATAAGCTTAAATGATGATGAATGTATGCCAAAATAGGGTTTATTTAGACACAAAGTATGTTTGTTTAAATCAACATTCAAATCAGTGCTGGTCTGCAGGCTTTGATTCCAAACACAAGGAGATAGATATATTTAGCATTCTTTTCACCTTCCCTGATTTTTTTTCTATCTTTGAAACTTTGACTTCATCGCTTTGGTTAGTCATAAAGTTGATGTCAGTCGGTGTGAGCTGCCCTAGAGAAAAGGTTGTGGCCTAAGCATCCGAGAGTGGATCTGAAAACAGCCCCCAGACTCTGGGGCACCCTGCCCTGTCAGTGAGGGACATCTCAGCTCGCATCAGCCTGTCTGTTCTGTCCTGAAAGTGGCCACACTCAGGTGCCTGTCCTTTGTTATACAGCCATGATGGTGTTACTAGAACAGGGAATGGTCCTGGTACAGGATGGCTTTCTTCAGGGTGACCTGTCAAAGTTCCAGCTGGCACACGGTGTCTCCTTTGTGAAAAGTGTCCAGTAGCAGCCTATTGTCAACTGTCAGTATCCACTCAGTGTGGATCATACCGGCCTCACAGTTGTGCTTCCAGGCCATTGAGCTTCTGCTTGAACTTGGGCTTCCCAAGTCTTTGCTTGGGGCTTCTCTGCTGTGGGTAAGGTGAAAGCTGCCATCATCTCAGTGGGAGTTCCTCCTCTCACTCTCATTCTCCAGGTCTTTCACTCTCTCTCTTAGGCGATGGGAATTAAATCCAGGACCTTCATGCTGAGCTACATCTCCAGCTCTGTTTACATTCTGAGACAGGATGTTGCTAAGTTACCAAGGCTGGACTCAAACTTGTAATTCTTCTGCCTCAGCCACCTAGAGTTTGGGGATTACAGGTGCGCATCGCCATGCCCAGCTTTCTCCTTTCTTTTAGAAGGGTCTGCTTATAGTCTTTTAGAAGTAAAGAGGGATCCTCAAGAGAAAATAAAGATTATTACTTCAGGATAACATGAGCCAAGCCACACCAAAGGGCCTGGATTTCTGTGAAAACATTGAAAGCCTTACGTGATAAATTTTTTTCACATCTAAAGTTGCACACTTGTTAACACAGTTAGATACTCACTGAGCACCAGTTGTAAATATGAGTCTGTAGGACACTGTGGTAAAAGCATGTTCGTGTTGGCTGGCGACCCATTAGAGCGGCCTCTTTGCTGGTATAAAGCGCTGTTCTTTTCTCCCATATTCTTACTCTCTGCTCCATGTTACAGTTTTCAGAGGCTCAGCAGGTTTAGTGGGAAATGGTTTTAGAATCTTAATTTTTAGTCACAGAAAAATGTTGCTTTAGGCTTTCCTATCTTTAGTTCCCTTAAAGGAGCAGAGATTTAAGTTTAAATATAAAACCAAGAATATTTAGGGACTAAACATCTCTCTTTTTAACCAAGGATATTTTGGCTATTTTAATTAAAGACACTGTAATCTGCAAGGACCTCCTGTTGAAGTCAGGCCCTGGATGTGGCAGCCCGAGCCACCCTTCCTGCAGGCCCTGCCCTGCTCTCCCGGCTGCCTGCTCCCCGCTATGCCAGCGCTGCTGCCACCTTTCCAAGCAGGTGCAAAACGCTCATGTTCACCTTTGCCCTCCTTGGTGATGTTCCCTAGGTGCAAAGATTAAAAGCCTGGGTCTTAGTGCCTTCTGGTATCCCTTTAAGTAAAAACCAGGTGACGCTTTTACATACAGGCTTTTTGTGTGATTAGCAAGCCAGTTACTGCAGCAGGGCTGAATGCCCCAGCAGTCTGGCTCACGCCTTGTTCCTCTGTGTCCTTGTGTCACTCTCTCTCTGTCACTCTCCCTCCCTTCCTCACTCTGTCTCGCTCTCACTCTCACTCTCTCTTCCTGAAATTTTTCTTCAACATTGTGTAATTAAGATACACAGATCTGTAGATCTGAATATTTTGAAGTATGGTATTTTAATTACTTGGCTTTGGGAGATTTTCACTAGAAATCATCACTTTCCAGTAACGATGCCTGCGTGTGCAGCATTTTCTCAGTGGGACTGAAGAAATGCACCAAATTTCTTCTGCACTTAATCAGAGTAGAAAGAATTGCTGTATATTCTAAAGATGATTTGGGCTAAGTTCAGACCTTAAGTGCCTATAAACCTCTTTTTGCTTAATGAATCATTTTTGGTATTTGCATAATTCTATAATTTTTTCAAGTGTGGATAAAGCAAATGTTCACATATTATATTATAATGCTCAGTTTACCCATTAGTTCAACAGTAATTAACTTGTTGAAGCTTAGAACTTCAAAAGTAAATGAGGTTATTTGTTCAAACTGCCACCGGGTCTTCCTGGAATGACATTTAAATTATATAATGTAAATCCATTTGACCTGTGAGTTCTTGTCATTATTTAATGACATTCCTTACAGAATAAATTGATGTCAGGTTGGGCAGCCTGCTATGGAGTTGGCAGAGAGCTATAAAAACAAATTATCTTTTCATCTTATACATCCTTTGTTCAAACATTTGTAAAAATTGCTTTGTTTTTCTATAATAGCGAAGTGTCATTCAATAGTTAAAAGCCCATGAGCTGTTTTAGAGAGAGACCACAGACTGCATCAGGCAGAAATATCTGTGAAGGAAAAGTGCCCAGTATAAGATCTATCATTGTGCATATTTTAAGTTATGGACAAAGAATCTCTTTTCCCTTTGCCTGAAAATTCTACCACAGAAGATACAGTGAATCTAGGTTTTTTTTAAGTTTAAAACATACGGGATTTTTTTTTCTCTTGTTCCACTTTGCTTATTGCTTTGACTTTTACCATTGCCTTATTGGCAAATTTAAATATTTAACGTAGCACTGAAATATCCAAGATTTACCATGGGTCCAGCATTTAAAACCAAGTCAACATAATAAAGTAAGTAAACATCAACCCTACTAGCCTTGGAAGTCAATAGTTTTCAAAGAAGTATTTTTTCTAATTCATTTTCTAGGCATTGGATTACCTTATTTTACAACATTAAAGGAAAACCAAGGACCTTAGTAAAAGCCTATGTTAACAGCCCAGAGACTTTCACTAACAATTTAAACAGATTACATTTCTTTTAAACTTTCTGCCTTTTGCTAATAAGGCCAAACATTAAGACATGATACAATTTAATGAGCTGTATTCCATTTTTCTTCTCAGTTCCTGTAAGCAGCCATGTGACATAGCTTCTTTTTCCTCTGCCGATGGCCTGCTGCTACCTGGGGATGCAGGGGGTCGGGAGAGGTGCATTTAAGGCATCCTGAGCAGGGAGCATGTTAGAGCAGGGAACATATTCTCTACCAGTTCTCAGCATAGCTGAAGGCCTGCAGTAACCATTAGAAAATGTACTATAGACTAATTTCTGGTTTATTTTCCAGTGTTTGCCTGTAATAAAGCTGAGCCTGCCTGTATTGGCCAGTAGGCTTATCAGAAACAGGTCATCATACCATGTTTACCAGTCGAGCATGTGGTAGGCCCTCAGTGATACATTCTGAATAAATAAAGAATAACTTTGTAACCCCTCACACACAAGCAATCTAGGACCTTTGACATTTAAACCTTTGTGCACTCTGTAATTCATCAGAATACTACAATTAGCATCTGGGAAGCAGGCTGAAACCTTGACCATGAGCTGTAAATAGATAACAAGGTGCATCTTCTGTCTCTGCCGTAATTATAAAATGCACACTGTGAACAGCTCTGTGCATCTTCTCTGTGCCTGTCCCCGTCACATATTCAAAATGGGGATGCTAAGACAGGCCTGTGATTTGACTAGATGTTGGTCGTTCGGCAGCTGGATCTGTCTTGTGTATAGAGAGACCAGCTTGGCATCTGTAGGTAATAAGACTGAGCCAAGCAGGATCATTTGTGTCTACCTCATGCTCTTGCCAGATGTGGAGACCAGACTCCTTCCTCCCTGCATTGGGAATCTGTCAGTTCAAGGACAGCCCCTTCTTGGCATTAATATGTGATGATATTGTATGATTTATGCCAGCAGGATGGCTTGTGCCATTTAAATATATACAAAACAAAAGAAAATTGTCTTGGAAAAGCGATGGCACTTTCTTTCATTCATAATTGTTTGCATTTATTTTTTTAGCAATTATGATGATGTACTATAAATGAGAGTAGCGTTATATACAAGGCCCAGAATAAGTATTTAAGTATTAACTGAACCAGTGGTACGTGCATGACTGTCCCATCAGGCAGCTTGTATCACTGGTCATACAAGTAGTGCAGTCATGCATGTACCACCGGTTGTTCAAGCCACCTAGCACTACGACAGATGAATTACCACCCCATCATGAACATGTTCAACCATTCTATTCCTCTGATCACATGAGACAAATGTCAGATGTCCCTTATTGTGCCTATAGGGTGTCAGGGCAAGCATCTATCTGTTCTGGTGCGCCTGGGTCTGGTTGTCAGAATGATCACAACTCATCAAGGACAGCCAAGCTCACATAAAACTTCTTTCTGTTGGGCTCCACATTCTCAGCTCTGGCATGGGTGTGGAAGGATGCAGATTATGTGTCATTCCTTGTGTGCTCATTGTAATTCCATCCACTCTTTCCCCCTCACTTAAGAAGGCTTATTGGAATGCAAGTGAATGAGTGTCATCGTTAGAAAGAAAATCTTGAATTTTTCAAAAGCAGATTATTTGTAAATGTCATCATTTGAATAGTGGGATGTCTTGCTCACAGACATCTGAAGGCCGCTGTTGGACGGCATTCATGCTGCAGTCTTGGCATTAGGTTGGAATAAATAGCACATCCTACTGGGATGTATGAATATGATGAGGCTTCTCTTAGAAACCTCAGCAAAGCTTCATGCCCTGCTCTCCAGAAACATTGTGGGCAGCCTGCTGCAGCTTTTTCTGCAGAGGATGTAGAGTTTGAATGATTTCAAATAGACTCCTCAAAACTGTCTCCATCATTTTAGCTCAGTGCAGCAGACACAGACCCCTCTTTCCTAACAAAGGAAGGATATGCGTATTTTGCGGTGCTCCTAATGGGCCTGGTGGGAAATGCTGCACTGGGGGGAATACTGTACCTAGAAGAGCTGTTGTTTTCTCTCATGCTAAAATAACACCTCGTTGGTTTGCACCTTCCAGGTTTTCAGAAAACAGAAAGAAATTAAGTTAGCTACTAAGACTCCTTTTGTGCCAGCGGGCACTGAGTTCTTTGAGTCTATCCTTGCTCCTCCGTCATTGTCCCTCAGATCCCCTGGGAGGCAGAGGGTCATAGACTGGCAGTAATTGGAAAGTAAGATGTGATGACTGTTGGGGCTCCCTAAAGCTGCAAATGTTTTCCCCCAGTCGAGACCAGGGAGGAGGAATGTTCCCATCCCAGAAATAGCATACATCCCCATACTGAGTAATAAGATATTTACTATTTCAATATCTTCCCATGTCCTGTTTTTATTATGTTTTTTACTTAATTTATAGTGATATCCAGGGGGTTGCTTTATTTTAGACAAAAGTCCTTGGAAATGACTCATAATCACCTGCACTTCCTGACTTTGTATTTTGTTACTTTTATCTAGCCAGTCCTTCAGTGAAGTTTAGTACTAAAAGCAGTGGCAATCCTTTGAGTTCTTTTTGTTAGAATCATGCCTCTTTGGAACAATAGGAAAATTGTGAATTTTAGCCTAGAAACTATAGACTTAGGAGCTAGCTCCCTGTCCTCTAAGGTAATTCATCGTAAAAGTAAACCCATCCAATCTAAAACTTAGAAGCTTCCCAGACATTGTCCTAGCGAACAAAAAGAGATATGAAAAGCTTACATAAAATAGACGGGGCGCAAACCTTAACCCAGTGGTGGCAAAGCTGTGTGTGTCACTTGTGCTAAAGCAGGCACACGAGCCCTCTTACCTGGCAAGCGAGCCAAGTCGCCCAGGTCGCCCCAATATCAGAGAACATGGGGTTATGCACATGCTCAGAAAGGAGTAGCAGTGCCAGGTGATGACATCTAGAACAGTTTTAGAACATTCTGTCTTTGAAAGGTTTGCCATCACTGCCTTACCCCAAGCCACCTCCTGTTCTGGTTTGGTCTGGTCTGGTCCAATCTGGTCTGGTTTTGCTTCGTTTTTAATTGCTGTCTCTTAACACTTCCTAACATAGCCGGGTAATTCTGAAGGTGTGATACTGTTTTCTTGAATGTCTTTGAGGAAGTCTTAGCAGTGGAGTTGATTCAGACTCTTCAAATCTTTTAGCTCCAACACCCCAAGAAAGGCAGTGTTTGCTGGAAGCATGCAGTTGCTGGCTGGAGTCAAGCTGTGCACAGGAAGAACCTTAACCAACCACCCTCACTACGAAGACAACAGCCTGAGGGAGCGAACCAAAGCGGTGAGGCCCAACTCTGCCTTTTCGCGCTTTGGGCCAGCCCAGGGCTCAGCTTCCCTGTGCGGAGAATGATGGGCTTCGGGCTGCTCCTCCAGTGTGTGGGGTAGGGCGCGGGCACGAGGCTTGCATCTCCTCGTCCTGACAGCAGCCTGCCTCATCCGTTAAAAGGTGTTTAGGCACCAACCTCCTTTTAGAGGAATAAAAGAGACAATCAATAACCTGGAGTAAGTGCACTAAAGAGTGTTTCAGACCAAGCCCTGAGAGCTTTTGAATTGGAGAGGGAAAGATGAGGAATAGAAATGGTAACATTTTTATAAATCATTTCATGGGCCATTTCTAATTCTGAGAGTTTTGTTGCTGGGTTAGGAAGTTTTTTATATTTTGTTTTTCTGGTACTGGACATTGAACCTTTACATTGAGCTACTTCTTTTTTTTTTTTTAGATAGGGTCTCGCTGAATTGTTCAGGCTGGGCTTGAACTTGCAATCCTCCTGCCTCAGCCTCGCAAGGTGCTGGGATTACAGGCATGTGCTATCACACCACCTGTTCTTTTAGATAGGTAATATAGTCACATACTTCCAAGGTCATAACATAGGAAAGGAAATGTAGCGAAAGTCTCTCTCCCATCCCTGTGTCCGAGCTACTAGTTCTCCTCCCAGGAAGTGTTAGTGTTACCAGTTTCCTCTTTATCCCTCGTGTGGTATTTTATGCTTCTACAAACAAATACACACGCATATATTCATATTCTTTTCTGCCTTTTTTTAACTAAAGAAGTAACAGTATACCTTGCTTTTTTGATAATATATTTTAGGAATCATTCTGTCTCAGTATATTAGTAGCTTCTTTGTTCATTTTAAAGATACGTGCTATATGTGGATTCAGCATATTTTATTTAACCACATAGCCTGACTCCACCTTTTGCACCCATGCATACAGTGCTCCAAATAATAAACCTGTATGTGCATCTTTATAAATGCAGTGATATCTGTGTACACCAGTTCCCGGCTGTGAAACGCCTGGGACACAGTGTGGCCCTGTCCCATCATGCTCTGTGCAGTTACATCTACTTGCACCCCAGTCTTCAGTGCAGGAGCACATCTGTCACCCTCAGTCCTCACCCACAGGGTTTCAAACTTCAGTGATATTTCTTGAGTACCCTATTTTTTTTTAATGGAAATCATTTCAACTTAGACTCCTGCTAAAATGAGAGTTTGTCAGTTGGCCCGAGTGTCCCAGACAGCTCCAGGTTCAATAGAAGGGTGGCAAGTTTGGGAGGAGGTACTTCTTAGGCTGGAGAGCCGCAGAAAACACCACCCTCTCCAAGAGAGACAGATGCTGCTCCCTGAAACAGGCATCATGAAGATCTTCATGCGGTCTTCAGTGGTGACCTTCATTTCTGGAAGGCCTTTGTCAGCGCCTTCTGCCTGACTGTTGGGGGACCAGCCTCACGGTGCTCTCAGTGGAAGCAGTTCATCTGAGCTACTGAATTAGGCCCTCCCACTCAGTCCCGGAAGTCAGGAATGCATCCCCGGGAATCGGAGCAGCACAGGAAGCACTTCTCCTAACCCGCCCTCCGTTTTCCACACAGCCTTCCCCAGTGCCAGGTCCCAGAACACAGCACACTCAGTCCATGTGTTCACAGGGACCCTGGCTGGAACTATGCAGGGCCCGCCACAGCGTCCTTCTGCTCAGGGAAGGGTAGGAAGTGGTGATGGATGTTAGGGTCTTCTGATCAAGTGATATGCAGGGTAGTGACCTCTGGACAAGTGCTGTCCAGCTGAGGACCGGGGACACCCACCTGTGCCAGCAGCGGCAGCTGGGTCTCTTCCTCACCAGCGGATGAGCCCACACTGTACCCTCACTGGCACTGGACTATTTTTGTTTTGGTCCCTTTGTTGTCTTACTTACTGAGCTGCATTATTTACCTTGGTGAAGTATTGTTAGAATTGGCTTCTGCTGATAAATATATTCATAAGTCAAAAGGACACATTCCTAATCCAAGTGCATTTGGTGTCTGAGCCCAAATGCATTCAACATGACTCACTCCCCCCTTCCTACAGCTAGATAATTACAATATTCTTTTGGAAATTTGCCCTACACACCGTAGGACTAAAGATAAGTGATTACAGCAGTGGCCTTGGCAGTTGTGGCGGGGGCGGACCTGTGTGTTTCGGTCTCAGAGTCCCCTCCATGGGAGGTTATAGCACATTCCTCGATTAACTCACAAGTGGCTGAGAGGTATGCTGCCTTACTCTGTTTTGATTGCGTTCTGAAGGTTTATCAGATATATGCAAAGAGGTCCCCAGAGGAAGTGCACGCCCTCCTGAAGTCCTTTGGCACTGACTACGTGATCCTGGAAGACAGTATCTGCTACGAGCGCAGGCACCACCGGGGCTGCCGGCTGCGGGACCTGTTGGACATCGCCAATGGACACGTGAGCATGTCGCCTTACATAGCGTGACTCTCCTGGAGTGGGATTTCAATCAATCCTGAAATCTTTTTACTGTGTGTGTGTGTGTACGTAGGTATTTCTTACTCTACTGACAATAGAACTCAGGGCCTTGGCACTATATCCCCAGCCCTTTTTTACCTTTTATTTTGAGACAGTCTCACTAAATCACTAAACTGCCCAGGCTGGGCTTGAACTTAGAATCCTCTTGTCTCAACCTCCCAGAGTACTGGGATTATAGGTGGGCAGCACAGTATTAGAATGGTATCATAAATCAGGTCCTCTGTCCCTTCCATTGTGCAGAAGCCCTGCCACAGCACTTCAGTGACTGCCACAGGGGCCTGGTGAGGTGTGAGGGACCCTAGGGTACCCAGACAGAGTTACACAGCAATTCTGTCTTTGGCTGGTTGGCACGGTAAGGCCCTGCATAAAATTCAAACAAAAAACAAAACTGCTCCAAGACTCCCGTCGGCTCATCCATGGGTAACTGCCAGCAGCAGGCTCCCCCTCCCAAGTGCAGGGTCTGGTCGGCTTGCCTTTCCTTCTCCCTCTGCCCGCTTCAGTGTCCTGTGTCCCCCACCCCGACGGCTGCAGAGGTAGCCTTCCGCAGCTAAGCTTGCACTCCAGAGCAGAAAAACAAGCCATGGATCTTGCCTTTCTCCCTCCAAGGAAAAAGTTTTTGAAGTTGTGCTGGGTCTCAAATAGAAATCTCCACTTTTAGAACCAGGGCTGACAGCGGGTATGAAAGCTGAAGGTTGGATATAAATGGATGGGATGAAATAACAAGCCTAGCCTAACCTGAAAACAAATTAGTGATTTAAGATTCAAGTTTTTGCCCCAGGAAAATAATAGTAACTTTCTTGAATTCAGAGGCAGTAAAGACTAATGATACGTTTAAATTTTCCTTTGTGTGTGGCTTTTTCTCACTCATGCATCTGATGAGTTGGAAAACTTTCTCTGGTCAGAATAGTTCTCTGTATTTCGTTTTTGTGAGAGGGACAATATGTAGTACATTTCTAAGAACAAGGAGATCCAAGTTCTAGTTCAGACTTTGCTGTTAATGGTGACCATTGTGTGATGCTCAGCCTCCCTTCTTGGCCTTGGTCTGCACTTCTGAAGAGAAAGAAGGATGAACCAAGTCATCTTTAGTAGCCATTGACAATGAAGTAATATTCAGTCTCACCGACATATTCTTAAGGAAACATAATACCTGTCAGGTATGGTAAATAAAAATGGTGAATATTTGTTATTTTTTAAATTCATTACAGTAAAAGATACATTGCCATTAATCCTTTTCAGGGTACTCCCCCTTGCTTCCAACACAGTTATCCCATCATTGTTACCACCTTCTGAAGCAGTTCTGGAAGTTCTTTTTCGTGAGTGTCTTTAGTTGCACCGCTGTGGCTGCCTCAGTGATGGAATGCACACAAAATGGGCAGTTTTCATAGTCACTTTCACTTTGGAGAAGAGTCAGAAGTCATACGGTGCCAGATCTGGTAGATAAGGTGGATAAGGACACAGTGTAAAGTTTTGTTTTTATTTTTTTTGTAAAATTTTTATTTGACAGAAATTTCCATAGCTGATTGATTGTGGAAACCTGCAGTGAATATTTAAATTCAAAAAGAAACTATTACAGTAAAAGATACGTTACCACTCATCCCCTTCAAAGTACTCCCTCCTTTTCAAACACACTCACCATTCTTGACAGTGCATCTTTTTTTAAATTATAGTGTAAAGAGACAAGGACAAAAACAAAACAACACAAAAACAGTACAGAATTTCAAAACAAGATGATAGGAAATTAGCAGTGGTTGTTGTATTACATATTGTTATCTTCAAAGTAGTTGCTCAGGACAGTGTGTCTTTTACTGTATTTTTTATTTCAATATTCACTGTTTTTTTTATCTTACAAGTGTGTTTTACCCCAAATTGAATGTGAGTTTGTTTTGGGTTTAGATGATGGATGGCCCAGGAGAGAATGATCCTGATTTGAAGCCTGCAGACCACCCTCGCTTCTGTGAAGAGATCAAAAGAAACCTGCCTCCCTACATGGCACACTTTACCAGGGTGTTTCAAAACAAGACCTTTCATGTCTACAAGCTGTCCAGGAACAAGCAGTAGACATTCCGGCCCTTCTCCATTCTGGATACAGTGAGACTGTATCGTAAGGGGAGTTGGTAGCTGATGTTCCCAGGGTGAATGGGTCACCAGTACCCAAAAGCTGTGACATGCAGACATCCTGCAGCTGTTTACACAAGTGTCATCATCTTCCAAAAGCTGAAGTCTTTTTTTGTCTTGTCTTTATGTTTCATATCTTCTAATGTTCATTAACTAAATGTTCACAACTTCCTAAGACTCACCTAGCATTTGGCTCTTGGGTAGAATGGTGTGTGTTCCAGGATGCCTGGACAGCTGCATACCATGCTGACAAAGAGAGCCCAATCAGGATCAGAAATACTTTCCATTTTCAGTTAACTTATAAGAGCTCTGAGTGGAAAGGAGAGGATGTATAGTTAAATTATTTAATGTTATTTCACTGGTGAAGACCAGTTGGTGGTTTTGTTTTTTTTTCTCAGTCGGTGGTTTTTTAAAAGTTCTTTGTTGTCCTTTTTCATCTTACAATTTTATAATGTTTTCAAATTTTCCTGGTTTTAACATGAACAACAAAAAATCATGTTAGGTCTTTGTATGTATTTTAAACATCATGTTGTACTCTGTCTGAGACATTATATATCTAGTAGTCTGTGTCATACATTAAAACAGTGTTTTAATGCTGGGCACAGAAAAAGTGTTACCAGTTCTGTGTCGCTGAGTTCTCAGAAGTCTATTTAGGCAAGTAGAATTCATTACTTTTTAGTCTTATTATTTAAAAAAAAAAAAAAACTACTGATACTCTAATCTCTCCTGCAAGTAAAATAGTTTGCTTCATTTCCTACTCATTTCAATTTACTGGGTTTGCAAAATTTTGTAAACTTTTTGTGTTTTTAGCCTTTGTATTTTTTACAGCCTAGAACCTTGCAAATTCTCAATATTTTTTAAACATGGTATCTTGACTAGTTCGCTAGTGCAGTATTTTTGGCAGACGGCATTTTCATACCAAGTTGACTTGTGGTCTCCAATCTTACACCGTGGGCCCTGGTAATGTCATTCTTTTCCACACTAAAAGGTAACCAAGTGCCTCTAAGTCATGTTTATTTGTAACAACAGAGAAGATTATACATACCTGCTCAAAATTTTTGATAATTGCTTTTATAATTCATTTCTAATAATTAGGGACATGTAAAAGTTGCTGATAAAAGCATATTGTCCATTTAATTAAATCAAGCTGGCTAATGAAATTAACTTTCCCCTCTGTTCTTGCCGGTTGGAAATGATTTAAATGTTTCTCCTTGCAGTTGTATTGAAGTAAATTGCCAGCAGCATCAAGATGGATAATGTCACATGTTCACAGGGTTTAGTATTCAGCTACTAGTTATTAAGCAGCGTTCAGAAACATTTTTGCAGTGTCTTGTTGGACATAGGATACTTGGCTTTTACCAAAACTTATTTAAATAAAAAATTGGCAATAGCTGGGTTATTAAATTATGCAACTGAAACTCCTGAATTATATCTTTCCTGTATTCCTTAATAAGGTTGGAGACCACTGCAGTTTAGGATAATACAATAATAAAACATTTTAATCAGTACTAAAACTTTAATTAAGCCAGTAATGATGCATGCCTGTTGTAGCTGACAGCATGGGTCAGTACATCCTTTGGCGGTGCCTTACTTTAATTGAAACCAAGCACATGTAAGGTACAATATGTTGACACTATGTGGTCTTGTTTTTTACAAACTCTGTTACTTTTTCAGGCCTGTTTACGTTTATTTTAAATATTCCTGTGTGTATTAGTCTTAAGTATTTGGAGTCTCACTGTACAAGGAGTATGTACTTAAATTTGTATGCCCACCCTCGCCACGTTGCTGGCACACCCTAATTCTTTTCATAGTGACACTGTTGCCAAAACATGTAGTGTTCAGTCTTTAGTGAAAAATATAAAGTGCCAAAAAAAAATTGCAAGACGGAATCCATATAGACACTTTCCAACACACTGTGACCATGCACAGTAGAAGTTTTTATTTCCTGATGATGCGGTTTCCCTTCTGTTAGCTATTTTTAGCACCTGTCAGGCTTCTTGTCCATGACCTTGTTGTTGCAGCGCACGGGAGGAAACGGGGAGAGCATCTGGCCTGGCTGTGGCTGCCAGCCTCTCTGCAAGGCAAAGCAAGAGCCCTGTGGCCCGAACTCCCCAACCCACAAGCCTTGGGGGCTGCTCCGTGTTTGGTGATAACCTCAAATTAGAGCTCACTTTTTCTGGACAGAAACACCCTCTGATTTTGCTCCTGGCTTGGCGGTCAAAAGAACCCCGTAAGTACAGTAGGAGTGCTTATAATTGGTTCCACTTGTGACTCCCCAGAGTACTGAAGTCCCCCCCTTCCCGTGGGCTGCCTGCCGAGCCCCACACAGCAGGCGGAGGGCATAGCCAGGCTGCTTGTGCCCTCCCAGGGCTCTTGCTCCCCATTTGCACTGGATGCTGCTCCCAGAGTTCCCCCCTCGCCCCCCGCAAGTCCTTACTGTGAGTGCGCAGCTCAGGCAGCTGTGTGCAAACCTAGGAGATGTAGGTATAAAGTACAAGAGTTGTTTCTACAAAAATGAACTTGAATGCCTTGGTAAGATTACATAAATGCTGAATGGCTAATAAAATTGCTTTTCAATTCATCACGATTTAAAAATTTTTTAAAATATTGGGGAAAACATAAAAACCAAGGAAATTCGTCCAGGTATTCATTCCACCTTCAAAATGCCTAAACCAACAGAAACGTATTAAAGTGTACCCGAATCACGTTGTTGGTGTGATTTATGCAGGAAGTAGAACTGCAATCGCTGGATTGTTATGCAGAGGAAAGGCCTTGGCTTCACAGCAAAATATTAGAAAATGAAGGGCTAGAGGTATAGCTCAGTGGTAGAACACTCGCCTAACGTGTGAGGCCCTGGGTCCCATGTGCAGCATCAGGGAAGAAGATAATACATATATTATGCTCTCCTGTTTTAACCTACTTAATTAAATGACCAACTACCTATAATAAACACAATTGACTAGTAGAAATTCTACTCAGAAAGATCCCCATCACTTTTACTATAGGCTTTTACAGAATAGTAATTCATTTCAGATGTATTAGGAGGTTAGTTAGTAAAGGATGATCTAGGCCAGCTGCTGTCTCTTTAAAGATGATTTTCCTGACCTGTGTGAGTCCAGTTCTGTCTAAGAAATTCGTGTGTGTGTGTATGTGTGTGTGTGTGTGTGTGTGTGTGTGTGTGTGTTAGGTAGGTGCTGCTAGGGACAAGGACCATGTATATCATCTGGTCTGCATCTTTATTTCACAATTAACTAAAAATAAAAATGAGTATACCAACTCCACATGACTATGATGTCAAAACTTTGGTTTATCCTTGATCAAAATTTAGTGGAAGTAACACTGAAATATTTAATTTAAAAAAATTGAACCCAGACCTTGGCATTAATAGGAAGATATCAGACTTTTCTCAGATCATGTATCTTGGTTAACGTGCTCCCAAATATTTTATACATGACAGCCTTTTAGCCTAGGAGAGAGTGATTGTTTGCTCATGGGTAAAAAGCTTTTAAGATGAAGAGAGTGGCTCACTTTCTTGTGGCAGTTAAGGTTCTGTTTTTAAAATCTTGTGGGTAAAATCTTACAAAGAGCTTTTATAATTTGTTGTACTGAATTGTATGGAGATTATATACTAAATAAAGCTCTTTTAGATTACACAAAATGAGTGTCTTCCATTTGTTTGAAGGTCAAAACGAAGGAACCTACTTCAATGGGAAGGAGGGGTTGAGACTATGTAGTAGGATCTGTATTTGAACTCACTATGTAGCCCAGGCTGACCTTGAAGTCATGGCAATCCTCCTGCCTCAGCATCCTGAATTCTGGGAGGAATCTACTTGTTGAAATGCAGTAAATATGTGCAGAATAGGGTGATCACTACAAAAGGATGTGGCAAGGTCTTCATTGTACTTACAATGTTGAAGGAGTTCACTTCTTCATGTGAATTTTTCATAACTACTGATTGATTTCATTTGAATCTTTGGTGTTCAAAATAGAAGTTGAAATTTCAGGCAGAAGTGACCAGAAAGATAAATAGAAAAAACTGGCAGTGGGATCTCAAATATCTGTACAGATGAGTGGGTTCTAACACGGGAAGAATCATAAATGATACAGTTAAGTGCAGCTCTGAATGGCCTGAATTTGTAATAGTTTGGCTTGAACCCCAGTCACTTAGCGGATAAAAGGCTTTTTCTCTGCTCCTCTCTTCAGAAAAGGTATCTAAAACTCATCTCATGAACTTTTCAGTTAATTTAATATTTAGAAGCTTGCTTTACAGGGTTATTTTCAAAATGCAGATAATATAACTAACAGTGTAATGGGAAATCAATTTAGTGGATTGCAGCCAACACTTAAAAGGCAGGAAGGTAAGATGAGTCCATGTGGTAAATGTGTTGTTCAGGGCAGTGTTTGTTTCAGCTATGGATGTAGGTATTAATGTACTGTGCACGTACAAAATGTATTTCTTATTATGAATTAGAGCCACAGCTGAGAAATGGTGCCATAGAGTGAGCAGAGATTTCAGAAGGATGGCAGTCTGAGATTGACTCGGCCTTGACCCCAGGCTTAACCCTAATAGAACCACCTACACCTGATGATGTTAAGGAACTATTTTTATATTTTTCAGGTACAATATATACTTTTTTTGGCTTTTTTGCAACAAAGTATCATGTAGTTCATGTTGGCCCTGGAATTCACTATGTAGTCCAGGCTGGCCTCAAACTCATGGCGATCTTCCTGCCTCAGCTTCCAAGTGCTAGGATTATAGATGAACATTACCATACCCAGCATTGTATTTTTAAACCCTTTTTAAAATAGATACTGAGATATTTACAAGAAAAAGATTACATATCCAGGATTTGCATCAAAATAATCCTGCCGGGCATCTAGATGAAATAAGATTGGCCAAGAGTGATATAGTTTAAACTACTTTGGACTTTTTCAAAATGAAAAGAAAAAAACTAGAACCAACTGTAGAGACCAGGAAACTACAAAGATTTAGAAGGTAAAATCTGAAATCAATCAGAAACAACAGAAAGTATAAATGAAACTCCAGTTCTTTAAAAAAAAAAAAAAACCAATGAAATAGATAATCTGCTAAACCTAACAGAAAATAACAAAACTATCCACTATTGGGAATATGAAAGAAGACATAATCCCAGAGTTTGGGATGGTATAATGACATGAGAATAATGTATGCAATCCTGTGGAAAAAAATATAAAACCTTAAAAAAATAGCTGATTTCCAAACAAAATAGAAGGGGCTGGGAATTTAGCTCAGCAGTACAGTGCCTGCCTGGCAAGCGCAAGGTCATGAGTTCATTTCCCGGTACTGGAAAAAAAAAAAAAAAAAATAGAAATTGCCAGATAACCCACAAAGAAGTTGATAACTTGAGTAGATAAAACTCTAGAATACCTGGCAAAGGGTTGAAAGGTCACAGAGGACATTTGGACAAGAAGGTGCACAGTGGAAATCTTTCAGGAGAAGAGTTGGCTGTGGGGTGTAGAGCAGTGGTACAGTGCTTACCAAGCGTGGGGAGGCCCTAAGTCTGCTCTCCAGAGACACAGGAAGAGAGGGGGGCGGGCCAAGTTTAGTGAACTTTCCTCAGCCATTGAGTAATAGAGAAACCAAGTTTGTTTGAGGAAGTTAGTCCGATTTAACACAACTCAACCCAATAGTGTGGCATAACAAAGCATCACGAGCTTTGTAGCTTCCAGCAACACACATTTATCTCAGCGTTTCCTGGGTCAGGAGTCTGAACACGGAGCAACTGGGTCCCCTTGGGTTTCCTTCTGGGTTTCACAAAGCTGAAGTCGAGGTGTCAGCTGGGGCTACATTCTCTTCTGGAGACTGGGGAGGCCACTGGGCCTTGAGGCCACCTCTGTCCAGAGGCAGAAGATGTGCCTCTTGACAGCCAACAGGAAGCAGCTCCAGGGAAGGTGCAATTCATCTGCTAAGGGCACTCATCTAAGTCAGAACCCCCTCATATAAGCTCCTATTTTATTAACTCAAAATCAAATGATCTGGGATCCTGAATTGTACCTGTAAAATCCCTTCATCTTTTAGCATAACCAGATCGTAAAAGAAATATCCATCATGTCCACAGGCCCCACCCTCACTCAAGAGAAGGGCATTATATAGGGCATGTTCATGGGGGGCCTCAGAGGGATTTAGAACTCTTCCTACCACAGGTAGTTTAAAAGAATAACTGAATATTTGGCAGCAACTAACAGGGTTATAAAATGTCAGAAAAGAAAAGCTCACAAGGTGAGTCCTAATTTCACCCTCACTTTCTCCTTTTGAGTCTTTTCCAAAGTGTGACACAGAAAAACGAAAGCCAGGCAGAGTATGGCAGCCTTACAAGAAGAAACAGATTGGCATTCATGGCTGCCAAAGCAGGATTTGGTTGGGGTTGAAGGGAGGTGGCACTAGAAAGGAGGCAATTACGATAAAGAAAACCTGAGAATTTCCCATTGGACCCATGGCCCTCACCTACACAACATGGCTTGGTAGAGAACATCCAGAAAGTGGCAGAAAGCTAGACAGATCAGAGGTTAGCAGTGCTGAGGAAACATTGAGACTAGGGCCCAGCCAGGGCTAAGAGACCTTCAAATATCTCCCAGCCACTCAGTTGAGATCTTGGAAAAGCTACAACTCATCCTGGGATTAGAGACAGTTATTCACATTTCCAGACAAAAACAAATAGAAATTTGCTATGGTGTTAGTTTTCCATGACCATGGCAAAATACCTGAGATAATCAACTTATGAGGAAAGATAATTTTTGGCTCTTGGTCTCAGAGGTTTTGGTCCATGACCACATAGCCCTGTTGATGTGGATCATGATGGTACAGAACACCATGACAGGAGCATGTGAAAGAGGATACCTGTTCACCTCATGATAGTCAAAAAGCAAAGAGAGGAAGAGGGAAAGGGCCAGGGTTCCTGTATCCTCTTGAAGGACATAACTCTGCTGACCTAAGGAACTCTCACTAGGTTTTCCCAGTGGAACCACAGGCTGAAGAGCAAGCCTTTACCACCTGGGCCTTTGGGGATAGTTCAGATCCAAACCATAGCAACTATGAAGGATGATAGTTTTATCCATAGCCTCCAATTTTCTTGACAGTTTTTATGCATACCTCTAGCACTCAATCAAAAATAAGTAGGCGAAATTTTTTAAAATATTGAATCAGTTGAATTAGAAGGGAAACCATAACAAATAGAAGATATTGAAGTCTTAAAGCAGATTTTCATATATAGTGGCTATGTGTGTTATATTCAAGAAATTAAATGGCAAGATGGAGAATTTAGGTAAAAGAACTGAAAAACTTTTAAAAAGAACAAAATGGGAATAGTAGAACTGAAAAGTACAATAAATTAAGTGCTCATTATTGAGTTAAAGAGCAAATTAGACATAGCTGAAGAGAAAATCAATAGACGACAATAGTTTAAAAGAAAATATGCATACTAAAAAAAGATTTAAAAAAAATGAAAGAGCATGAAACATCTTCTAGAACATTCTATTTTATCCTGTAAGTGTAACTGAAGTTCCACAGGGAAAGAAAAAGATGGACTTTCAGGACTTTGAGCAAGCAACTGGTCTTAGTCTATTTTGTGCTACTACCACAACACCCACAGCTAGGTAATTTCTCATGAGCAGAAGTTGTATTTCCTCTTAGTTCTGGAGGCTGGAATATCAAGGTCAAGTTGCCAGCATCTGGGGAGGCCCTCTTACTGCATCATAAAACATCACAGAAGGGCTCACATGGACAAAGGGCAAAGAGAAGGCAAGGGAAAAGGAAATGGGGCTGAATTTGTCCTTCTATAAGGAACCTTTTCCCATGAGAGTGCTGTTAAGCCATTCATGAGGGCAGAGCCCTGAAGGCCCAGTCAGCTCTTAAAGGTCCCACCTCTTAGCACTAGTGAGTGACGCAGACCACTATGAAGCAGCTCTGAGCAGGATTTAAATTAACCAATTGGCTTTCCATGTTTACTTGTGAGTCTGTCGGAGGCCTAGGCCCCTTTGTCTGGAGATGGGCAGTGGACTTACAGTAGGTGAACCTCTATGAGTCACTGGTCCCAGCTGAGGCCTGTAGTGGCCTGTGAAGCTATGACATCTCGAAAGAAAAGATAAGATCACTGCTGAGGACGTTTGGCTCCAACCCTGGTTAACTAGATGAACACTGTAGCTGCAGGCATCTCACTCCTATAGTGAAGGCCTTCCTGGAGCTAACATAGTTCTCCTAAATTAACGTAATATATTACATAGAGAAGTCCTTGAGCAGACTCCCAAAGTCTTTGAAGAGTCAGGCTCAGATTCCCACCTTTCTTCAGTATTCCCCTCTTTTGTTTGATAACTAAATAAATACAGGCTGCCCAGAGAAGATCTTTGTCTTAGCCCCCAGAGAATCTTGAATTCTGTTAGAGGGTTTTGGACTTCCTGGAACCCTAAAATCATATCACTTCTCTCTTTTATTTAGGCCTTTTCCATACACTTGTTTGGGAGATTACAAGCCTGATCAATCTACAGTAACTGAAGAATAGTATTAACCCATTACACTACCATGGTGGAGATTAAGTTTCCAACACATGCTTTTGAGAGGACATATTCGAACCATAG